TCAGTCCCTAAATTTACAGCTGAAGGCAATCTCAGGAAGAATATAAGGAAATTTAATTCCAGACTGCTGGCGAGGGAAAGAAGTACAAATCAGGCCATGCACTGTGCACACACACAACTGAACTCAGCAACTCTTTATTAGCACTTTCTGTCAGGAAGTTGGATGTGAAGGAATCCAGTGGTAACTGTGGGCTAAAATATGTTGATTGGGAAGTAAAATAAAACTGATTTTAATGTTGATCCTACTTAACCTCTTATGCAAGTGTTAAAATACTTTAATGAGTATTCAGTTAGGCTTCAGCCTTGCTCACTTTACTGTGAAGGTTCAATTATTGAAGTATTACTCAGAGTATATGAGAGGAAACCAATATGTCTTTATAAAAAAATAAAGTTTAATTAGATAGCATTACTTTCTAGTCCTTTATTTTGAGTTGCTCACGAACAAACACAATCCCTTTTAAAACAGCCTCAGAATAGACTCTTCTGAAGCCACATACACTGTGCTCCACAATTCTTTATGTATTTATATATATATATATTGAGCTACTCCGTTCTTTAAGACACATTTTTTCTCCCTCTGAAGACTGATAATCTACACGTTTTAGGAATAGCTCCTTGAAATGGATTTCAATGGTTACTAAAACCTAGTCCACCATCAGAAGCCCTGTGTCGTTTCCCCTTTTCCACCAGTCTTTGTAATGCAGTTTTTCCCAAAACTGTTTTATTGTGATGATTAGAAACCTATGCTAAGTTGTCAGCCTACATTTATCTGTAGCAAGTTTATATCAATCTGGTTTTCTAACAGCTTTTGGTTGAAATAGTTCTTACCATTCTATGATATGTACACTAATAGGAACTGCAATCTCTTTCATCTCTTCCCCTCTCTCACTCTCTCTCTTCCCTTTCCCAGCCCCCATATATGCAAATTTTTTTCAGCTCAAAAACCGAGGCACTTCTTTTTCCTGACTTTTCACATCTATTTCAGATTTTAAATCATTTTTCTTTAACAAAACCACACAATTTTCCTGAGAAAATTTCCTCAGGACCCTATCTGATAGCATAAATACTCCCGTATATCTGTAGAAATTACTTCTTCTGACACAATGCAGATTCTTTGCATAATTTCACAATCAGTCTTTCCATCCTGGTAACCTCTTGTCTTGTTCTGTTTGGATTTAAACTCCTTTGTCCGCATAGCTGATTTACATAAGTAGCACAGTATTCCTATTGTGTATTAAATAGCAAATTACAAAATCAGGTTTCCTTGCCAAAATACATAGGTTGATCTGAAAATAATGCCTCCCGTTTCTTACCATGGGACAAAGAATGGAATAACACTATTCAGTAGAGTGAATTCTCAGCTACAAAACCTAAGTTTTCAACACAGCCACCACCATTAGTTATGCATTTTTGTCAGCAATGAACAAGAGCCTGCATGCTGCACCCATCGAAATCTGCACCAGCAGAAGTGAGCCACTGTCATCACTGCTGAAGTGCACCATCCATCACCTCACTGTGCTCATATCCACCATTTGGTCTCCACCAACATGCAGCAAGCATCACTGAATGTCAATGGGTGCCGTTTTTTGGAAGAAGGAATTCAATTCCATACCATACCTTTGCCTTATACACACTGTCACATCAGACACTATTCTGTTTGCTTTCTGTCATAAGGCAAGAAAATGTAATGGGACATTGGTGGGAAGGTTCAACCTCTACTGCCATACCACCAACATCTGCCTCTGATGGCATGGGCCAGCATCCTAAAATAGAAGACATTACTTTGGAACATCCCTCTTATTTGCTGTTATTAACTATACAAACCAGCTTCTATCAAATAAACACCTTCCACAGACACAGCACTTCCACTAATTTAGATGTTTTGAACAGCTATCCAGGTGTTTCTCTGACATTTCATATAATATTGGCAATGAATGTCACCATAAACTGTGATAATTATTAAGTTTCCTGCAGTAGGACATTTCCTATGAAAAATTATAGGAATATTACTCTGCCATAGAATCAGCATAATCAACTTACCTCTCCCAGCTTGTACCAATGTTGGAGATATCGGCTGCAATTATTTAGAGTACTGCAAAATGTGGTTGAAATGTTATTACATATATTTTTGTCTCTTTCACCTGTATCCTGTAGTACTGAAAGTTCCTCTCCTTGAGGAGAACTTTACAAGACCAGCTTGTTTGCCCATGGACATAACTGACTTTTAATGCAGCGAGAGTTGATTTTTTTACTGCTACTCTCCCATAACTTATACATCAGTTGTTTTTCTCAAATGATTGTTTTATGGTCAGAGAGCCTGATAGGAAGAGAAGGTGAAGTCTAATTTTATCTTGACAGAACTGCATATACTTAAATTAAGGCCTCCCATAAGAAATCGTGCTCAATTAATATGTACATTCTCTCAGTACCAACCTTTGACATCCTTTATAACAGGATCATGTTCAGATGAGCAGTTGTTTATAGCGTGGCTACAAATAAATAGTTTTTGGACTCATTGGCATATGAACAAGATGAAAACAATGCTAGCATGGAGTACATATAACGATATGCATTCAGTTTTTTTAGTCTTGAAGTTGGAGTTTATCTGTTTAAAATGCAAGCTTATTCTGCAGTGTAGGAAGTGAAAATAATTAAGGCTGCTGAACATTTTGGAAAGTAAGAACCATACATGCGTAGTCTGCCTCCTGCCATGGAAATGACAGTACTGGTATGATAGAAACAGGCTTTCAGGGATGGAGAGAAGAACAAAGGTAAAGGAGGCCTTCCTGTCAGCACTGATTGGAGGGACAGCATTTTTCTTGGCCATATAATTCAGCTGAGTCAATGCAGGCTTGTGTTCCCCCTCTTTCTTCTCCTTCCTTACCTCTCCATTTTAATAAGGATTGTGTCCCTGAGGAATCATTTTCATAAGGTAAAAGATAGGTGAGGAAATGAACAAACCAATTAGACTCCAGATTCTTCAGCCTATGAAAGCTCACAGACAAGCAACAGGGATTAAATTTACATTGTGTGATTCATAACAAGGTCACCATGTTCTGCATTACTTGCTAAGGGAACTGTATTTTATAGGGAAACTTTGCAGTAAGGTTCATATTTGGAGGACAAAATAAAACAAAAATGTAGTTTTTCCCTTGATTCAGGTAGCTTATGGCCTCTTTCCAGCTCATTTCTTGAAGGGACTAGGCAGAGGATGCAAATAAACACAAGCAACACTCTTTTGTGGATTCATGTAAATTACAGTCAATTAAAACCTATGCACAAACCCAAATGAATAGCAGAGATATGACTGCAGATCTATAAAACCTAACAGTGTTTCTGTAATGATGACTCAGAAGAGAAAAAAAAAAACCTCAAAGACGTGATTGAAAGAAGTGAAATGAAATACTATTCCATCTTTCTTGTTTTTAGCAAGATAATTTTGGTTTGCTGTTGACTAATACAGAATTATAGGAATAAAATGCGCTATCTCAGTCTCTGCATTATTGGCTTTACATTATCGGTCCTGACAGCTGGCTTTTAAAATGCAGTAAATATTGGGCAATGCTGTTCTGTTAAAACAAGCCACTTCATCAAGCATATTTCCAAATCACACTTTCTTTTCAAAATATGTTTAATTTCTCTGCATGTGGCAAAGGAGCCCATTGCAAAATTGACCTGCAACAGACTGCCCTCTACTGCATGCATTCAGCAAAGAAGCACAAAGCAAGTTCCTTAACAATAAAAGCTTAATGTATTGAATCCTGCAGATTTGTCACAGGGCACTGGCCATTGAACTAAAAAACAGCATGTACCTGAACGTGTACAGCACTCTTCCCTTCTTTAAAGAACTGCATACCTCTATGGAATAATAGTTTAAAGTAGGTGTAAAAACTGCACAGGCTGTTTCATTGTTTCAAATGAAATCAGCATGTGTTGTTCCACCAAAAACGGTCTGTGTTTATAGGCTGGAGAGTTATTAAAGATGGTAACAATCTGTCCTGCGTTGCATCGCTACGGCCTTTTTCTCTTTGCTTCCAGAAAGGATCTATGACAATAAGAGGTGAAAAAAAATAGAGTTGATCTCTCAGACCTTATTTTCTCCTCCTATCTATTTGCCATTCACTCACTACCATTAAACTGAATTCCCTTTTTCATTCTGATGTCCTTGGTAAATCCGAGGTTTTCCCAAGTTATGCCTCTTGCAAATGATTAAGAAGACATTTCATCAGTGCTGTCTCAAAGACCAGAAACCAACAGCTTCCAAATGTATCATGAAAGCAATTCTATAGCCAGGCATAAATTCTCAAGTAGGCCTATACTTTTGAAGAAGTCTTCCCATTTTTCCTTCTTTCCTCATTCAATATGACTTGGGCCATGCTAATGCTGAGGTTCCTGATGGAACAAATACTTTCAGCTGCCAGTAAAAGAGGAGGGCTCTTAAAGCTCAGTCCTTCATGGATAAGAAAGCTACTTCTAAAACACTGGTACAAACTGGTATAAAAAAAAAAAAAACATTTGAGTAACATTTGAAATGCCCTTTTTTATACAATGAAGCCAATGCTTTGCCAGTGTGAAGCAACAATTTCATTCTTAAAGTCTCAGCTTACGTCTTGATGCGCAGCACTGAAAAGCAATTGAACTGGATCTTTCTGCACAAACAAGAGTGTCCCACAGTAACCCCAGAGAAAGTGTTTGAATGCCTCAGGATGCCTTAGGACATTTTTCAGTATGTCACTAGGGCAGACTAGAGGCAGGTATAAACACCAACGTTCTCCAAAGCAACACAGTCAGTTACCAACATTTCTTTATACAAAACAGAAACAACACAAGAAGGCATTTCCATAGTACACAGTGCATATATGGCCTTGCATGTATTTCAGCCATGAATTGTGTCTGCGGATTTATTCCCACATGTGAAACTTTCCCTTAAGGAAACCTTTGTTGGTAATTTACAACTTCTAAGGATGGTATCTCTGCAATTGCTTTCCCTTTGCTTCATACCTGTAAATCTTGTATCTTGTGCTAAATCCCTGTCGACTTCTGTCCACAAAATCTGTGTATTCCTGTGAACGATGGAAGGGTCCCTTATCAGAGAGGAGCCAGTCGAAGGGGCTTGTGGCATGCTGATCCGAAACAGCAGCAACTGCTAAAACCCAGCAATGAAGACTCAGTGCTATCCACTCCCATAGAGCCATCAGAGAGAACAATTCAGCACCAGCACTGCATCGCCATATCATGCTTCCACTGGGGACTTAGAGCCTTCATTCTCTTAGCTTTCCCTCAACACCTAGACAAAATACACAGTCAATTAGATAAGCACACACTAGGCATCCCTTGGAAGCAGAAACAAGTTTCCTTTCTTTCAGCTTAAAGAGATAGTGGCCTCTACTTTATTACATATTACATTAGCATAAACCCCACTAGGCTAGTTAACATTGGAGTGTTTCAGTACTTCAAACGCTGTGAAACTAATGTCTTCATTAACATCATCAGCGATAATATTTACTGTTGAAGGGAAACCTTCACAAATTGTCATGGGAGGGATTGTTGGTTTTTTTTTTTTCTTTTTTTCTTTATTTTTCCCTCCCCCATAACACCGATCGTTAATGAAAAATATACAACAGAAGAATTATTGCCTTTTAGCATCAGTTCAGAAGCGTTCAGCAATGTCTATGCATTAAGATTTCAGTTCACCTACTAGACAGAAAACAGGCGAGATTCAGAAGAGCCAGCCTGCTTTCCTTTTTTTGTTCTTAGAAAAGTCACTTAATGGCTTGCCTTCACTACACATTTAGTTAATAGGATCAAGTTGTCCTGTTCCAAATAGCATAGCTGGACAAAGAGTAAGGATGTTGTTCAGCTGTACTGGAGCTACCCAGAGGGATGAGTTCAATGAGCTACACAGGCTTCAGATGCTGCAATTTTAAGTATCCCTAACAGCAGCACTTGACCTGCAGTCCAATTCACTCCAACTGAATGGCACGATCTGGAAATACTATTGATGTTGAGCCTAGAGAATTGTTTGGGTGTCCAATTAAAAATCAATAATCAGTCATAGCTCCGTTTAAGAATTATTCAGTGAAGACAAGCCACAGTTTCTTCCTATACCTCAGTCTCATAATTGTGAAATGGAACAATGATTCTTTATCTTGTTTGCTTTATATTTTGTGAAAATATCTATTCAAGAGCATGAACTCCCAGAAATACTGAAATATATAGAAACAATCCATTTTGATTGTCAGTGTAAGATAAAACAACACAGAATTAAGCAGAATATGCTAATGTGAGGGCTTTCATTTTTCTAGTTGATGAAGTGATGTGAATATGTGCTCATGAAAAACATTTTTTAATTCACGGTCAAATAAAACAGCATTCATTATGACATTTTTACTGTGCCCCCATTATGATTTTTTTTTCTTGGCAGGAACTTTTTTTGTCTGCATCAGTAATTTAATTTTCAAGTATATCCCAAATAAAGGTTGCTTCCAAAGAACTGTACTGCAAATACACACTCTTTAACACCCATCCATTATACTGAAAATGTTGTAGCTGAATAAACATGCTCTTTCCATAATTTCTCACCATTAATATTCTAAAGAGTCTTTGGTATAGATTATAAACATATCTGCTGCAGGATGCAAACTGCCTCCAAAAGAGAAGTTCATTTGGACCAACAGGAATTTACAGCCTAAGAAAGTAATAATTATCTGTTATCTCAACCAGAGAAAGTTTGTTGTTTTCTTAGCACAAATGTAAATGTTTGTAAAATGTGATTTTGACCTGATCCTGCAAACATTAAATGCATAATGAATCTCACTGAGAAAAGGCTATTCATATATTTCACACTGAACATATGTCAGAGCACTGAGTTGTAATCGTGGTAGTTTATGATCATGAAACACAGACTGCATTAATTTTGTAAATCCTTTCGAAATGAGATTCTGCAGCAAAGAACTCTCTTAACTGTTATTTGTACTCTCGAGCAATTATTTACATGCAAAAAACCCTGCAGATCTGTGAATGCTGGTGAAGCTCCCATGTCTTCTCTCCAGACTGGTGTTTCTTTCTTTCACAGTTTGGTTTTTATTTGTGTGAGGTTACACTACTGTGCAAACTTCATGGCATCCCATGAACAGGGGTGCACAGATCTGAAGCAAAACAGAAAAGCAATAGCTGACTCTCCTGGGCCACAAAAGCCACTGCGGTTATTTGATGGCCATTTCCTGATAAGAATTAGCTCACAATGACTGAAGAAGCCATGCACCCTCTCCCTCCTACCATTACATGCCTATAATCAGGAAAAAATATATTACACAACAAATCCATCTCCCTCTTTCAACTTCTCAACAGGCTAGAAAGACTCTGGGCGTGATTTCTTTACATTATCTACAGTTCTAAAGGGCATAATGAGAATTGTAATTTTTTACACCTAATGTTGTTATCAGATTGAGAGCTAAGACAGTGTTCCATGTTTTCTAAATTAACTTTTCAACTGAAAAAAAAAAATAATCATATAATGGTTTAATGTACAAGAGATAAGAGTTTACTCTTTTGGGTCCTTATTAACAATGAAGTGTTTTAGGGCATTATACTGTCATGATGACTAATTGAGCTCCTTTTGAATTTAAAATGATAATAGTGAGACTGGAAAATGAATTGCTATGTATAGGTAGCATCTTCCTACATCCAAAGGAACAGTGAAAAGCTATCCTCTGTATTAGCCTTGACACTACACTTCATGCTATGTCATAAATTTACCACCACCAAAGGACCTTTAGAGAACCTGTGTAGTGACAGAAGAAAATTATCTCCTTGTATAAAAAATAAATGACTTTTTCCAAAAGAGTTTAAATATACAGCTGGTCACTGGGGAATGCAAAACAACACATGTGCTTCTAACTGATACTTATCCACTTGTGCATATTGCCCAGTCATTGCAGAAACAGCCTGCATATCATGAATTCTCAGAACACCCTTGAGAGAGAAATTTTTACCTCAGTTTAACAAACAGGAAACTGAAGCATGAAAAGACCAAGGTTAAGATTTTGCAAGCTGCCAGAGGGATTTAAATATGTATTCTGTGTTAAAAGACAGATTTGAAAATCTCAGCCTAAGGAATTTTCCTAAGGTTACATTGTGAAAGATCTCTCAAGATTTTTTAATACTCAAATTCACTAACAAATTCAAAAGCCTGGCAAACAATTTTCAAATATAGGTATGTGGAACATACAGAGGTCGCATTTAGAACAGCCACCACAGAACTCCAGGGAGGAACGATGTGAATTAAATTTGCAGGAGAGCACCTGCTGTCTTCAGGGTGGGCTGTGAGAACTGGAAAATAAACGAGTGCCTGGCAAGTAACTGAGGTAGTGGATTTTAGAGCAGAAGAGACACTCTGTAAAGAAGATGCTTCAAATGAAACTGGCATATCAACATGCTGCCTCTTTAAAGTGCTAGCTTAGAGGACAATTACCAAGCATAGATGCACAGCCGAATTACTTTCTGCTATCCCCAGCGTTTCACCCAACTACTACTTGCAAATGCTGATAAGTCTTCATCCTTTCCCCTTCTAAATTTTGAGGTTATATTAAGCTCAAGAAGCATATTTTTTTAGAAATCTGTTAGAAATCTGCGGTCCTCACATTCATTAATGCAAAATGGTCCTGACTGAGTAACTTCTGGGAGTACTTCTGGGAAAGCTATGCCTTATGTTTCATGAACATGTAAAGGGTGCTGAAGATTGGTAAACCCCATGCATTAATTCCAGCTGAGAATGTAGTACTGGCAAGCACAAAACAAACACTGTGACTACTGAGCCAAATGTCACCAAGCTTCACCTGGCAGCAAGACTACAGGAAATCTGTAACCTTTCTGTTCTCTATTTTATGGTACAATACAGCAAATTTATCTTCTTTTTTTTTTTTTCAGGAAAATTCTTCTAACATTAGAAATGATATATGATTGCATAGGAGTGGGTTATAAGGCCACTAAACTGCTGCACCTGAAAGTTCAAAATTTAAGTGTTTTCTTTATTTCTCCATTGAGCTCTCTTGCATAAAGACCATGAACTGATAAATCATGTATACTAAACTACACACAGTCAGTGCTATGGACATAGCCTGAGATATCCTTTCCAGCGTTACACATGGAACAATGCTTGCACAATCTCTGTCAGCATCAGAGAAATTAATGCAGCACTGTCTCCATCATTCTCCCTTTTTGCCTCTTAGAGGAATCTCCCCCTGACGATGTAAAAGGCCAAAGCCCTTTGGTTTAGAATTAGAACTTAAATTTTGTGGAAACAGTGAAACAACCCAGTTCTCCCATGGCAGCATGATGTCCTTCTATGCTTGAAGGATTCTGTTGGATAAAAACTTACTTTGTGGTAAAATGTTTAGGTTGTAATTCTCAGATATGTCCTTTTAAAGTAAACTAATGGGCTTATCATGAAAAAGATGTTCTCCACAAGTGAAAATTTAATGTCTCCCAGATTGTGTTTTCAAATGCAAATCATAAATCTAGTTTTCTTTAAATTAAGCAAGGTCATAATTGATAAATACATTTCCCTTTAAGAACAAGGGCAACAACAACAACTCTGAGTGTTAGAGATTACTCTTATTGGTGTAAAATCATGGGCTTATCAGCTGATGACCCTGCGTTTTCACTCCTTCATCAGAATTGTGAAGATGATCTCGTCCTCAACTTTTGGCATAATAACAGTGTTAAATGAATGAGATCTGGGGATGAGCTTGTCCTTGAAATTCTCACGCAGTCCAGTGTAAACAGAAGAGCCAAGAAGCTGATGATGTGCCATGGAATAAAAGAGCAGAAAGTGCTGGAATGGGTGTGGGCTACACAGGAGAAGAAAAAGCAGGGAATGTGCTATGCTCTGCTCTCACCATACATTACATGTATCTTGTTCTTCAAACAGATACATCCAAATCCATAGAATAAACTCTGCCAAGCTAAACTTGCTAAAGGATAGCAAAAGGACACATGAAATAAAGTTCTGTCTTGCTCTCCTAAGCAGCCATTTGACAATGGTTAACTTTCACACATTAGCTTTCAACTACCAAAAGGACAGTGCAGTGACAAGAAAGGCAGGATGTACATCTGGCAGAACAAAAAAACAGAATAGAGTTTGGGGAATTAAAGGATGGATAGCTCTGTGTGCCACCAGATCTGATACACATGAGGTTCAAGATACAGCTGCTGCCAGGACTCAAAAGTAGAAAGC